CAAGAGAGGCCATGGATCTTAGTTTGTTCAGGTTTTTTCTTGTTGGAAAGATGAGCATGATGACTCCCAAACTCTTTACATTCTGGAGCTAAAACCAAAAAAGCAGCAGGACATTTTGACATGAATTATTTGATAGTGTTGATTCTAGATACATTTTGATATTGCTGCATCAAAAGATAAAAGCACTCTACTTTCTTATAAAAGATATATGCCATCGACATCTCCCAGCTCACCACTAGCCTCAAACCTACCTTACCTACTTCTTTTTTCCCTTTTCTTTGACTGCCATTTCAAATGGAAGGCAGAGGGGCTCAGGAATGTGGAAAGGCAGTTCTGTATTACCCATTTTTTGATGATTGAAAAGTTGAAAATAACCCACCACAAAATGGCCTCAGTAAAGTGGCTGTATCAAAACATCATTTACCTGGAAAAAACAGGATGCAAAAAGGCTCAAATATAGTATTTCTAATCCTACACTTTCTTAATGGAACCATTAATTGGTTGAGATATTGAATCCTTGCCTTTTCATCCACATCCCAAATTTCCAGACTTCTTGTCCCTTTACCAAGCCCAGCTCCTCCCCAGTACTGAAGAGTGTGGCTGTCAAGCCCTTTTGCAGTGAGTAAAACAATATTACCTGAGCCTCACCCCGGAGTAGGTATGTGGCCTTGGCCCTACCGATAAACATCAGATAAGTCCCTTGGCATGGATTATATTCCTTTTTTAGTAATATAATCATAAAAATTACTCAGATGTATTGAGCACTTACTATGGCCAGAAATTGTGATACTTGCCTTATACATAGTTTATCTCACTTATTTCTCACTATTACCCTTGGAAGTCAGAAGAGATGGATCAGAGAAAATAAGTGACTTGCCTACGGTCATATAACCAGTTTATGGTGAAGGCAGCATTCAAACTGAAATCTGTGACTTAAGTTCAGTGCTTTCCCTAGTCTGCTCCTCTCAGAGGCAGAACATAAACATGTAAAAAAATACCACTAGGGTTCTTGTCTCTACCTTGAGAACAGCTATTTGCAAGTCCAAATTAGGCAGCTAATCTAGCAGTTATCCTGGATACAGACCATAGGTGCCCAAGTAGCTATAACTTCCAGAAAGCAGGGACTATAATCTATTCACTAGTGAGTCCCTAACACAGTAGTCCTAGTACAGCAACAGCATTTGTTGGCAATATGAATGAATGAGCAACTGAAAAATTTCATGAGCCTCTGAGTGAGTAAGTGAATGAATGAAGCTACTCTCAGTATGATGACTAATGCAACAGAAAGAAGTCTTTCCAATCATCATACGGTCCTGGGATCTGCACTGACTATAAATTCCAGTAGGGCAGGGACTATATTGGTCTTAGTTCATCACTGTGTTACCAGCTAAATTAGCACATCTGGCACACAGTAAATGTTCGATAAACTTTTGCTCTTTTTGATGGGTTGACTTATCAGAGGCAACTTCTTCACAAACAAGTAGCCCTGTACTCTGGAGAATGATGGTGCTTCTCTTCCTCAGCCTATGGCCCTTCCTGAATAAGTTCCACCTTGTCCCTCCCTACTTTCTCTTCCCAGAAATGCATATTTATTACTACAAGCACCATTCTTCACCCCACACCCCCTACCTGATTCTTCCATGACACTGCGTAATGCTCAAGTAACACACAAGTTAAGCAAATAAATACTGGGTAGGACCTATTTTAATTAGAATCTTACACTGTCACCACTGGAAGGGATTTAGAGATCATCTCCTCTCAGG